GTCATGACGCTGCCCCTGGCCCCATCAGCTGACCTGGGTGATGGCAGATGAGCCCGCAGCCTGAGTCCCAGGGCCTGTGCCATGAAGCCACCCCTGGGGCTCCGTGGCCTGGTGGTGGCCAGGGTCTGCCCGCCGGGCCTGTGGCTCACCATGGGCCTAGCTCTCCCGTGGATGGGGTGGGATGGGGGGCGATGGTACTTGGAGCTGGGAACATGGCAGAGCCCAGGGAGTCGGATACCATCTGAGCACTTGCTTCTCCCCCAGCCTCATGTACTGGACAGACTGGGGGGAGAGCCCCAAAATCGAGTGTGCCCACCTGGATGGGCGGGAGCGGCGTGTCCTGGTGAACACCTCCCTTGGGTGGCCCAATGGCCTGGCCCTGGACCTGCAGGAGGGCAAGCTGTACTGGGGAGATGCCAAGACGGACAAGATCGAGGTGAGTCATGTTCTCAGGGAGAGGGATGGACAGGGAGGGCATCGCTTCTGGAAGCCTGCGGCCAGGTGCTGTCTGCCTGTCGCTGGCTGCCCCTGCGGCGGGTCACGTGTCTCCGTCGTGGGCATTGACGGGCACCTGTGCTCTGCCACCTGGCTGGGATCCTTGGAAGGATCGTGCCAGGGATGTTTCCGACACCCGGCGGCCGGGCGCTGTTAATAGCGTTGCGTGGTGATGGTGAATGCGGCCTTGGGTGGGGAAGGGCCTCTCTGCTACTTTGACCCCTTAACTTTTTCAAAACACAAAGTTATAACCTCACCTGTCCACTGTGCAGCTTCAGATGTGATTGATGATGTAGTTGAGGCCAGAGGCCATGCTGTCCAGAGTTGGTGATTTACTCCCAAGTGGGGTCTTAAACTTTTTATTTTTACATACGTGTGTGTGTGTGTGTATGTGTGTGGTGTGTGTGTGTCTGCGCACACGCAGTGCTGGGCGTGGGACCCAGGGCCCAGCGGGTGCTGGGAAGTGCCCTCCTGATGGCTGCTCCCCCAGCCCCGTCTTGGTTTTCGGGGTCCGTGGTGTCTCTCGGCACCCGTGGTCCTGTTCTGCAAGCTATGTGTGGTTTGATTTAAGTAGAATCATCTGCTCTTGGGGGCTTGCTTTGTGCCCACCCCAGAGCCTGCACCGGGTGCTTCTGATGCACACGACCTGTCAGTTGTGCGACCATCACAGGCAAGCCACTGACGTTGGTGGCCCCCTCAGGGTGCACCCCTCCCTCTGTGTCCTATTCCTTCTGAAGGTGCTCGTGCGTGTTTTCACACTTGGTTGAGATGGCCATGGGGTCACCATCCCCCGTCGGGGCCCCTTCAGGAGGGCGGGAGTGTGCCTGGGTCCGGGACTTCAGACCTACTTCTCCATGGGAAGAGCTGGGCTGGGACGCCTGGGTGGCCCTTCCCACGAAAACCCAGGGAGCAGCAGCTGGAGATACTTCCTGGTGGCGTTTTGCATCCGTGATCTTTGTTGCTAACAGGAGTTTAAGGACACCCATCCCTTGGGCCTGTGGGCAGAAGGCAAGGCGAGGACCTTTTTCCTGGGACACCTTTGGTCCTGTCCACAGGAGCTGGTTAGGGATGTGACGACCAGAGACGCCACCGGGACCCATCTCAGGCATCACTGCGTCTGTCCCCACAGCAACATGGCATTTAGTAATTGTCAGTGTCCTGCACCTGTCCCCACTCTCTCCTTGTGGAACGCTTTCGTCACCTAAAAGGAGGCCCAGTGCCGGTTGGCAGTGTCCCCGACTCTCTCAGCCCCTGGGAGCTGCTACCTTTTTTCCTGTCCCTGCGGATTTGCCTTTCTGGACATTCCCCGGATGACAGTCCTGCAGTGTGTGGCTTTGACATGTGGCTTCTTCGGTAGCTGTGCCCCACTGCCACCCCAGGATCGACCTACCTTCCTGGGGCCCCAGAGAGCAAGCCACCGAGCCCTGGGAGCCCCTCCGCCGTCGCAGAGGCCCCACCCTGCTTCTGTCGGTGCTCAGATCTTCTAGCCCAAGGCTGTCGTGACGCTGCCCCCGGCCCGTCCAGCTGCCCTTGGTGCCTCTGAGGTGGACTATCCCATTAGGCTCCCAGCTCAGGCACACTGGCTCATGCTGGGGGTCTTGGCTGCCCCCTGGGGAGCAGCTGAGGTTCGGGGAGCCACGTTGACCTTCCTGGGGGAATAGAAGTGGGAGAGATGGAGAGGAAAGGTGCCAACTGGGTCAGGAAGGAGCAGGACGTGCTTTGAACCACGGCGACATTCTGGGAGGTGAGGGCAGGAGGTACCAAGCCGGGTGCCCAGACACCGAGCAGGCGTGGGTGGATCGTGCGGCTCTCCTTTGAGGGGAGGAAGGTCTCCTCCAGTGCGGCTCTGCGGCCTGGCTCAGCACTGGACTGAGGGGCTCCGCACACGCTACATGTCCCTTTAAAGAGGCAGCCAGGTTACCTGTCCCCACATGGGGAGGGCTCTGTGGGCAGCTGTGGCTCGTCCCCTGATGAGCTGGGAGGAGAACGCAGGTGTGGCATGCTCGAGCTGACAGACAGCATTCTTCTGATTGGCGTGAGTGGCACACACCTTGAACTCTGAGCAGAGGGCTCCGTGGCTCAAGAGGCTCCTCCAGGTGGCATCTCCTGCTGGCCTCCTAGTGACAGCTGTCCTGGACATCAGGCTGGAGACCAGCCCCCAGCAGCCCCATAACATATGGAGCATTGTCTTCCCGGTGACCAGCCAGTTGCCGTCACAGTGACGCTGCAGTCACCCTCATTGCCTCACTGTGGGTGGTGGTCCTGGCCCCCCCCCACATGCTGGGCTGCATCCAGGCCAGTCCTGACACAAGCAGGTTTTGTGTTTGGGGACCTGCCTCACGTGGGCTGGTCTGCCTCCGCCTCCCCGGCCCGCGCCTCCCTCTGCCCCCCACTGCCCTCTGCCCCTGTTGCCCTCTGCCCCCGCCGCCCTTGCCCCCCCACCTCCCTCTGCCCCCCGCTGCCCCTGCTCTCAGGTTTTCCAGCCTCCTGGGCCTGGAATCCAGCATGACGCTGGTTTGCCCAGGAATCCTTCTTGCCCCTCTGCCCGAGTCTGTCTAGGTCCCCTGGGATTGGACGTTCCACCCCTGGGCGTGCCCTTGGCTGCACTCAGCCCATGTGGACACCCTCCAGTGCGGACCTCTGACCCTGCAGGCTCCCGCCTGCCCACCCCCGGGGCTTCCTGGCCGGCTGTGCGGCTCCTCTGACCTGGAAGCCTTTCCCGTGCCCAGGGCGCCTTCATCTGCCGGCATGGCTGGTTCTGCTGTCTCCTGAGTGGCTCAGGGGCTGGCGCTTGGGTCCTGCTTTCTTTCCCTCTGGTCGTGCAGACGCCAGCCCTGTGACAGCTGAGCCTGGCCCCCCAGGCTCTTCCTTTCATCTAGGTCCCTTTTCGAGACTTAGACCCCTGGAAACCTGGGTCACCCTAAGCCACGTGCCGTGGTCTCCCACATGGACCATGCACCCCACCCCCACAGCCACATGGTGGGTTCCTGGCTCCAGGCTATATGTCACCTGTCCACACCTGTCCAGTGCTCATGCCCTCTTGGCCATAGGTCAGCCAGCACCTCACCACCTGTGGGCTGTTTTCCCTTCTGATGCACACGGGAGCCCTCGGGGCCCAGCTGGATTGGGGTCTCCGTGCTGACCCCAGTCAGACATACAGCGCACTGCTGTGTCAGGAGTGACCTATGCCCCCCCTCAGTGACCCCACCTGCCACTCATCAGACCTGTGTCTCCTGCCTGGACCTTTACTAAGCAGGTGAAAGTGACAAGGGACATGTCCATAATAAACTCACAGGGCGGGTTGACAGTGACTGGAGTCCAGTTGGCCATGTGGTCTAGTCCATGAGCCCTGGGTGAAATTGGAGCACCAGGCACCAAGGACAGAGCTGTGAGCTCAAGGTCCCTGTCCTTGGGTAAAACACAGTCACCGTGGCGGGTGTGACTGGGGTCTGCACCTGGCGGTGGGCTCATGATGGCATCGGGAACAGGACTCTTCTCCCTTCACCTGTGCTGTCAGTGGCTTGGTCCTGGGCACACAGCTGGGCGCACTGCCAGGTTGGTAGAAACAGGACTCGTCATCAGGAACTGGCATGTCTGGTGACTTTCTGGTGTCCACCGTCTTATGGGCCAGCCTGCAGACAGTGGATGCTGGGCTCTTGGGAGCCACCTGGCCTCCTCCCACCCTGCACCTGCTGTCCTGCCAGTTCTGTGACGGCCTCACAGGGAGGCCTGGGGACGAGAGCAGAAGTAGAGAGCTCCAGCGCAGCCCGGCTGGCCTCTGGCTGGACCCTCTCATTGCCCTCAGAGCCTCTGGGGTCTAATTTCCTTTCCTGAAAAACCAGGCCCCAGAGAGGCCGGGGGGTGGAAAGCGTGCCCCACAGACCAGACCCCGTGTGCTGCCCGTTTTTAAACCATGCTCGAGCTAAGAGTGGTTTTGACATTTTTTTTTTTAATGATTGGGGGAACAATCTCTCATAACCTGTGAAAATTACATGAAATTCAAATTTCAGTGTCCACAAATACACTTTGTTTTTGTTTTTTCACGAACTAAGTTTGGTTGGCCCTCAGCCACAGCTGTTCGTCTGCGCGTTCCCTCTGGTTGCTTTTGGCTCTGGTGACTGTTGTGGCCTCAAAGCTAGAAATATTTTCTGTTTATACAGAAAAAGTTTGCCAACCTGTTCTAGGAAATCTGGCTCCCGGGTTCTCTCCTGGCACCTGCGTCCACAGGTGTCCAGTCGCAGCTGCTATTTCTGAGTTCTTCGTGACCCGCCACCTCCAGCGCCGTGTTCTCTGTGTCCTGCTCAGTGAGAGGTTCGGATTCCCAGGAAGGACTGGCCCCAGGTGGAGAGAGGCTGCTGGCTTGGGCACGGGGACCCTGATCGAGGGCTCCCCTCCTCCTGCTGAGGGATCTGGGGAGTCCTGATCCGAGTGTTTGTACAGATGTGCTGCAGCTGGTCAAGAGCTGCTGAAAACTGTCATCAGAAGGCCAGCGGGAGGGGGGGGGGGGCTGGGTGTGGCCCAGTGGGGCACATGCTTAACACGAGGCTTGGGTTCCAACCCCAGCACCAGGAAAAAAAAAAATGCAGGAGGGGTCCTTTCTCTCCCCAGTGTGTTGGAGCGGCCTGTGGGCCTCACGTGTCCTTGTGCAGAGGGTGCGGTGGGTGCAGCTTCCCACCAATCACAGGGCGTTTCCTAGGGAAGCCCTCCCAGAGCCCCGCCTCCCTGGCTGGGGTGCTGGGGTGTGGCCTGAGCCACCCCAGGAGAGCTCTGCCTCCTGCCACTTTTTGGGCAACTTGAGAGTGGGGAGGAAGGGTGGGGAGTGAGGGAGCAGTGCCAGCCTGGCCGTCACCCCCTTCCTCCGAGGTCCTTTGTGGGTTCCTCAGCTGTGGGTTTTGGCCCCAGCCTCCCAGCTGGTCTCTGCACAGGTGTTGGGGTTGCCTCTCCTTCCTGTGGGAGCAAAACAGAAGCAAGGACCCAGACTGTAGACCAAGGCCACCCCACCTACCCTTTCCTGCTCCCGAGCGGCTGGGAGAGTTCAGGGCAGGGGCTGGTGCAGCCTTAGCTCCGCCCTCCAGGCGAGGCCTACCTGGGCACCTGGCGGCTGGCCCAGCCCCTGGGGAGTAGATGGCTGCAGGCTGGGCCGGCCACGCCTCTTTGTTGCTGGTGACTCAGTTACATGTGGAGCGAGGTCCATGGGGTGCGAGGACTTGCCCAAGGACGCTGAGTGCCATGGGCAGGGCGGGCTGGAGGGTCACTCATTGGCCCAGCAGTTTTGTCTTTGCTGTCCAGCCGCAGAAAACCCGTCTTTTCTGCGGGTCATTTGCAGTCTGCCTTGTGCTTCTGCCCTGCAAACGTCACTTTAGCTTTGCCACGAGCAGGAGGCGTGACCGTGCTGCAGCCTGCTGAGGCCCACCTGACACGGGCTCGCTCTGCTTCGTCCATCCTGTCCTGCCAGCTCCGCAGTGCCCATCCTGCCCACCCATCTGTTGCTTCAGTTCCTTAAGGTGTCTCGCACTGGCCAATGGCCCCTGTGGCTTTCATCACAGGTGCTTGAAGCTTAGTGTCCCCATCTCAGTGCACAGGGAGGAAGCATCCTGGGCCACAGGCCGGACCAAGAACCCAGAGGCCCTTGCTGCTCGTCTGGTCCCGAGTGAGGGGAGGTGGGCTCCCAGTGCAAGGGGGCTGGCCCAGGCCTGCAGTCACCCAGCCTGTCAGAGTTCTGTGTGTTGACGGTGGCCCCAGGGCCCATTGCACCTGCGGCAGGCGTTGCTAACGGAGCCCAGGGCTCCTTCCTGCAGAGCCCACCTGGTCTGGGTCCACCCCGTGCCATCCAGGCAGCCCTGCCTGTTGACAGCAGTGACGGGGACGAGGCCTGGTCTAGCGCAGTATCCACCAAGTCTGGGAGGCTGTGGGGGCCCAGAGCTGGCCCTGTCGCTGCTCCACCTGCCGGGGATGTGGCTTCGGGATGAAAGCGCCATTTGTCCAGCACCCCCTGTGCCGTAGCACCCGGTGTTCTGTGGTACCTGGTGAGGGGCAGGGGAGCCGTAGCTTCTGGAGTTGGACCTGCCTCCTTTGGGCTGCTCAGGCCCTGCTCCCTGGGGTGCGGCCTCAGACCCTGACCCCTGGTCCCATAGGTGATCAACGTGGACGGGACCGAGAGGCGGACCCTCCTGGAAGACAAGCTCCCACACATCTTCGGGTTCACGCTGCTGGGGGACTTCATCTACTGGACCGACTGGCAGCGGCGCAGCATTGAGCGGGTGCACAAGGTCAAGGCCAGCCGCGATGTCATCATCGACCAGCTGCCCGACCTGATGGGACTCAAAGCCGTGAACGTGGCCAAGGTCATTGGTGAGTCTGGGAGGCCCCAGCCACTGCTCTGCTGGGCTGGACGGCACGAGCAGGTCCAGATGGGAAGTACCCGGCGGGGACACGCCACTCGGGAGCCGAACCAGCAAGCGTCTGGTTCAGGACAGAGGGCGTGGATGTGTCTTCCCAGGGAGATGGCTGGGGAGTGGTGAAGGACCAGGAGTGTTGGCAGCCAGTGGGGCTAACATCATGAAGCACAGCGTGTGACCCCCGGGCCGAGGTCCTTGGTACCCCCAGCAGCCTGGATGCTTGTCGTGGTGACTGGGGAGAGGATGGCAAGGCCACACAGCTATGGTGGCCAAGCCTAGAACTCACCTGGTCTGTTGTGGGGCTGAATGGTGACTGTGGACACTGTGACCAGGCTGGACCACAGACGCCTGACTCTACCTGAAAGCCAGAGCCAGCAGAGAGCTCGGTCAGGAGGCCCCTGTTGGGTGATTTATCTCCTTCCAAAAGGATTTCGAGTACAGGTGCGCGAGTCACCTTGGAGAAGAGAGTCCAGGTGGTGGGGGTGGGGGCTGTAGGCTCCTCGGGCAGAGGCTGTGCTCCTGGCTGGTGCCTGTGCCGTGGCTGGGTGTCAGCTGCACTCAGGAAACCTTTATCAGCTGGGCCAGTGAGAGAACAGCGGGAGCCCTGTGCCAGAGTGGAGTCTCCTATAGCCTGGTGCCAGGCGCCTCCGGCCAGCCCTGCTTGCCATTGGGAGGCTGCAGCTGTGGTACGAGGGGTGCCTGGCTTTACAATAGGAAGGGGGCCTTGGGGTGTGGCTCCGTGGCCGAGCACTTGCCCAGCCTGGGTGGGGCCCGGGTTCCACCCCCGGCACTACCAACAGACAGAAAGCAAACAAGGGAGGGGACTGAGCTGGGTGGGGGCAGGAGTCAGGCAGGGTTCTGGGCAGAAGGACAGGGGCAGAGACCTGGTGGGGAGGTGCCTCGGGACCTCGGTGGCAGCCATGCTTCTTCTCACTGGGGACCAACCTTTAACACACCTGAGGTCCTGAGGCAAAGGCCTGCAGTGGACAGGTTGAGTTTCACCAGCCACCTTTAAAAACGGCCTTACCCACTGTGGAGGGTGGGGCCCGCCAGCGGGTGACAGTTCAAAAACAAAACCTGGAACCCTGGAGACCAGAAGGCCCCCGGGGCTGCCTGTGTAGCTGGGCCTTGCCCTCCCCTCTCTCTCTTGAATCTTGTGACTTCCCCAGAGGCAGGCGGGAGAGGTTCTTTTTTTAGCTTCAATACTTAGCACAAAATTAAAACCAACTTTATGAGCACTTGCGAGGCTGGCTCATAACTGGCTGGCCGAGAGCACATGAGCGGCCACTTAATGAACGTGTCTGCTTAATGAAGGCGAGGCACCTTGGCTATCCTGGTGAGTCTGAGCTTTGGAGTTCACCGGGGTGTCAGCGAGCCAGGGGCGCTGTCTGGGAGACTCTCCAAGCCTGTCCTGGTAGCCGGCCAGGGGTCAAGGCCTGGGGAGGGCAGCTTGGTCCGGCACTGGCTGGTGGAACCAAGTGTCCCCTGCTGGCTGGGCTCAACCGGGCTCACTGAGCTGCTCCCTGACTTCCTGGCACGCTGCCCTCAAGGCCTCTCTGCCTCAGCCTCCTCCGCTGAAGGACAGGGTGGGAAGGCCTCCTGTTCTGCGGCTGATGGAGTGAGTCGAAGCAGGTGCTGCCCTGGGCAGGGCCCTGTTGTTACTTTTCCCCTCTGTGTGACCATGTGGGAGAGAACTCTGACTGCCACTGTCCAGGGCTTTCCTCCACCCCCTCCCACTGTCCGCACGGGGCGTGTGGTGGGAACCGAGCCTGGCGCAGCCGTGCAGGGAGCGTGTCCCTCTCTGTGCCAGGCCACAGACGTCTAGAGCCTGTGCTTCCCTCCAGGAACCAACCCATGTGCTGAGGGCAACGGCGGGTGCAGCCACCTCTGCTTCTTCACGCCCCGTGCCACCAAGTGCGGCTGCCCCATCGGCCTGGAGCTCCTGAGTGACATGAGGACCTGCATTGTCCCCGAGGCCTTCCTGGTGTTCACCAGCAGAGCCGCCATCCACAGGATCTCCCTGGAGACCAACAACAACGACGTGGCCATCCCGCTCGCGGGCGTCAAGGAGGCCTCTGCGCTGGACTTCGACGTGTCCAACAACCACATCTACTGGACGGACGTCAGTCTGAAGGTACTGAGTGCCAGACACGCGCCTGCAGCTTGCCGCTGGGCTTTTGCCCACGACCTCCGCCTGCCGCGGGGGTCGTTGATTTTAGAGAGCCGTGGTGTTCACATTCCACAGGCTAATGAAACGCAGGGCACCTGCTGGAGCCGGCACCAACGTGTCCCGGAGCCTGGCACGCGGGCTCTGGAGCGCGTTTGTGTACGAGGGTGCGTACGTCGACCTCGGCCCTGCCTGCTCCCGACCCGACCCCGTCTGCACGCAGACTCCTCACTCACAGGGCAGGTGTCAGCGTCCTGGGTCACTCGAGGGAAAGGCCTTCTCGATCCCCAAAGCAGGTGTGGCACACTGGCCCCCTCACTCACAGCCGGTGCTGCCTGCAGCGGGGTCCTGGCTTTTTTACTTAGCATTATCACAGGTGCTTAATAAAGGATGGGAGCTCTTTAATGTGATTTTTTAAAGCATTTAAAGTATCTTTCTAGGCAGACACATAGACATAACAAGGTCTTCTCTCTCATGAAAGTTCCTATTGCCCCTTTTCTCGCTCTAAATGGTCCCACGGTGAGGCCTTTTTTATTTTTTAATTTTTTTTTTTTAGAAATTGATGAATCTTTATTTTACTTATTTATTTTATGTGGTGCTGAGGATCGAACCCAGGGCCTCCCACGTGCTAGGCGAGTGCTCTACCTCTGAGCCACAACGCCAGCCCTGTCTTGTGTTTTAATAGTTCCTTGGGATAACGTTTTGGGAGGAAGATAACTAGGTAAAAGTGTGCAGGTGGCTGTAAGTCTACAGTACACATTTGAGGTGGGCTACTTGAAAAAGACATGTACATATACATATAAGTTTAATTTTGCTGAATTTCATAATGAATAATTTTGAAAGTCTAGAATATTGGTATTATGATCTCAGATTTTGGTTCAATATTTATTCCAGGCAGTCAAGTAGCTCCTAGTTAGTGTCTATAAGAGATGCTGGTGGGGCTGGGGATGTGGCTCAAGTAGTAGCGCGCTCGCCTGGCATGCGTGCGGCCCGGGTTCAATCCTCAGCACCACATACCAACAAAGATGTTGTGTCTGCCGAAAACTGAAAAATAAATATTAAAAAAATTCTCTCTCTTTAAAAAAAAAAAAAAAAAGAGATGCTGGTCCCAAGTCAGGTACTGTGGCTGAGCTGCTTGGGAGGCTGAGGCAGGAGAATTGCAAGTTTGAGGTCAGTCTTGCAAATTACTGAGTCCCTGTCTCTAAAGGAAAAAGGAAAAGCTGGGTGTGGTGGCCCTTGCCTTTAATCCCAGCAGCTCGGGAACCTGAGACAGGAGGAGTGGGAGTTCAAAGCCATCCTCAGCAATGGGGAGGCCCTAAACAACTCAGTGAGACCCTTCCTCTAATAAAAGACAAAATTGGGCTGGGATGTAGCTCAGTGGTTGTGTGCCCCTGGGTTCAATCCCTGGTGCCTGCCCCCCAAAAAATAGACGTGGTTCTTAAATTGCGGCTTTTTTCATCCCGCCTGCCCAGACCATCAGCCGAGCCTTCATGAATGGCAGCTCCGTGGAGCATGTGATCGAGTTTGGCCTCGACTACCCGGAAGGCATGGCTGTCGACTGGATGGGCAAGAACCTCTATTGGGCTGACACTGGGACCAACCGGATTGAAGTCGCCCGGCTGGATGGGCAGTTCCGGCAGGTCCTCGTGTGGAGGGACTTGGACAACCCTAGGTCTCTGGCCCTGGATCCCACCAAGGGGTAAGGGCTGCTCTCTTCCCTCATGCGTGTCCTGTTCCCTCGTGGCCATGCCGGCGGGGTGAAGTTCTGGCTGCCGCCTGGCACTCTGCGACTGGAGTTGCACTGGCCACCTCGAAGGTGCCAGGGCGGGCAGCGCCCTTGGAGGTTGTCTAGTTTATTCCCAGAGGGGAAGGGAGTGACGGAAGCTGCTGTTGGGCACTGCGACGGCTGCTTTCACCTGGGTCCTCTCAGAGTGTCCAGGGAGGCAGGGAAGTTCGGGACAAAGAGAAAGAAGTTCAGATTTTGGCCAGCAGGCAGCTGGAACTTCCAAAATTCTGGATGGGGGCATGAGCTTGCTTTTCCCAATGCTCTGGAGAGGAGGGGAGGGCCTGCTGCCACGCCCCTCTGCAGGTGGGGCTGGCACCTCTCCTCCTGTGTGAGGAGAGGCTGTCCACCTGCTTCACTACGTCCATCCTGGTTCACACCATGTCCTGGCCAGCTTAGTATTGGACCCCGCCACTGGACCCCAGCTTGGGGCCCGTTATATGTTTGCTTTTTCTGCCACCTGTTTCTGTGGCTGTGGACGGGCGTTAGCTGGCTGACGGGTGGGCTGTGTTGGGGACTCGGGGAGGGAGCCCTGTGGAGCCTGTTGGGGGCCAGGGCTGCAGCGTGGCCAGGGTCTTGCCCCTTCCTGTGTCTTTCACGTTCTTGATGTGGCTTTCTCCCAGGAAGGGGGACCCAGCTGAGGAATGGTGGTGGTAGGGTCCCCTGTCGCCATCTACCATGGGCTGAGTGTGGACTCACTTCCCGCCCGCCACTGCCTTCCAGCTACATCTACTGGACCGAGTGGGGCGGCAAGCCCAGGATTGTGCGGGCCTTCATGGACGGGACCAATGGCATGACGCTGGTGGACAAGGTGGGCCGGGCCAACGACCTCACCATCGACTACGCAGACCAGCGTCTCTACTGGACAGACCTGGACACCAACATGATTGAGTCGTCCAACATGCTGGGTGAGGGCCGGTGGGCTCGGGGGGATCGGGGCAGGGCAGCAGCGCATAGACCTCCTCTCGGCCCCTCCACAGTGGCCCGAGCAGCCATGAGATCTCAGCTACCTCACCCTCTGCTGGGGGGCTGTCCCTGTCCAGCCCCTGATGCCCTTGCTATGGGTCTGTTGCCATAGGCCCTGGGGACATCTCTTTCCTGTGCATCTGGTGGGTGCCAGGTCCCAGCCATGCCATGTACCAGGACTGTCCACCTCACGACAGAGGTTTTCATTGATGGGGAAACTGAGGCACAGGGCGGGTACATGACTTGCCAGAGGTCACAGAGCTAGGGAGCCACTTAGACCTCAGGGCCATTGCTCGGACTCTGACCCCAAGACCAGCACTCGGACTCTGCCCAGCCCTGAGCACCTGCCCTGAGCTGGGAGACGTGCAGGGCCATTCTCAGGCTCCCGGCACGGGGTGGGTGATGGCACCTCCTTTTCACAGATGGTAGAAATGAAGCCTGGGGAAGTTTAAAGGGTATCCGGTCAGCTAGCTCTAGGGGCAGGATCTGAACCCAGGACAAGGGACTCTGGACTCCACTCAATGGTGGGCTGCTGTGCCAGTCACCTTGCATCGCTGTGACCAAGATACCTGACAAGAGCTACTTAAAGGAGGGAAGGGGTATTTTGGCCCCTGGTTTCAGAGGTTCAGTCCCTGACTGGCCGACCCCACTGCCCTGAGCCCAGGGCGGGGCGGAGGGGTGCTGCTCCCTCTTGGCAGCCAGGAAGCCTGGCAGGAAGATGCACCCTTCCAGGGTGTGCCGGTGACTGCCTCCCCCAGCCACGCCCCCGCTTCCA